GCGTTCAGCATAAACGCCCAGTCAGTGTGCCACAAAACGTTTGGGCAAACATTTTTTCCCTAACTTGATCTCAAAGTTGTGTGTGCAGGCAAACGTCCCGGTGGTCCCAAATGAAAAGGTCATAGCAGAGAAAAAAGTGTGGGATAAGTCGTTGATGGAGAGGCTAATGATTAACGAAACCAGGACCAGAAGTGTTGTGCCTATAGGAGCCATCAATGATTGGCTGACCAAGCTCGCATCTCCAATGAGATTGGAGAATTGAAGGACATGTTGCCGCTTTAATGCTGCAGCTTACTACCAGAGATGCGGAGCTGAAAGTTCCCATCGACAAGCTCACCCACGCGAATGCTCTATGCCCATCCATATAGAATCACACACTGGAATCATTGTTGGAGCATAGCTCCAATAGTACTGCCGAAAATGTTGGCCAGTCGAAGAGCTCTGAACGGAATGGGAGCAGCAGCTACTCCTTCTGACCTGCTGGGGACTCATCAATCTTCTTTCCGGAAGCCATTTAGCACCAACCACTCTTCACAAATCGAGACTTTACCTTCTCCTTTTACATTCAGTTTTTACATTCAGTTTTTATTGTCATAGTTAATCTGTCATTTCATGCCTTCAGTTTTATTTCATGCTTGTCTTTATTGTTTTCTTTTGTTCTAGGCTAGATTGTTAGTTTCGGGGGTAATATTCCCTCCCTCTTACTATGATCGACTGCTTTCAACCTATCAATGGAAGCTTCATTGACTACCCTCTTATCCTTAAACACTCGATTTGCTTCTTTTACCTTTAGTCCAGAGAGGATACACAGCTCCGTGATCAGATTCGGGAAAAACAAATTTTTGTGCTTCCTTTTCTCCACAATAATCTGGCCTACGTTTATGCTAAGGCCTTCCATTATGCAGAACAGCAGTAGAACTCTTTCCTTGGTGATGGATGCATCGTGCGTAGTTGGCATGAGTTTGCTCTTGAGAAGGTGGTGCCATACGTTTGCTTCCGGCTTTAGGTATGCAGGAAGGAAGGTTCAAGCTCCCCTTGTTGGCAGCTGTCATCGAGCTCCATCTACTCCTATGCAATTTAGGCCTTTATTGAGCTGCTCCTCAGATGGAGCAACCAACATTTTATTAAAGGTATCATGGGAGTAATTAGGCAGACTATATACCTCATTGATGGCTTTGGCATTCCAACAAACATTCTTACCCTTTACCATTACTCCAGAAGGATCATGAGGGTTGAGGTTGGAATAGAGTTCTTGTACAATCTGGATGACTGCAGGCTTGAGCTTGGCACAGAAAGACTGCCACTTGTGTTTGTTGACAGCACTGACAACAAACTTTGGCATTGGCGACTCAGATGGGAAGCCCCTCTCGCCCAGCAGGTTTCTCTCCTTCAATTCCTTAAATCGTTCGAATGCTGCAGCATCAACGAACCTTTCCTACTCTGGCTCTCATGCAGCAACCTTTTCTTTTCCTTTCCTTTTCGCTGGGGAATCTTCTTTATGCTTCTCCTTTGCTGCTTCGCCCTTTGCTTTCTTTTTCTTGCCAGCTGTCTGCTTGGGCGATGTCTTTCTTTTTCTCGGCGATTTTCTTGTAGCAGCTGAGATTGCTTTCTCTTCTTCTTTGTCACTCTGGACTTTGTCTTCTTCTTCCTTTACAACCTTGGCTCCACTAGATTCACCCTTGTTGAAACCCCATTCTCTGAAACCCATAAGGTCTCTCTCATTTTCTGATAGAGTCCAAACAAAATCTTCCACTACCTGCACTGTTTCAGGGGAGAAGGCTGGAACTTCATCTTCGTTTCTTTCTTCAGGCTGGACTTCTTCGTTATCCACTGGTCTCTCTTCTTTTGCGATTTCTTCATCTGGCGAAACTCTATTCYCCTCTTCAGTGGGCTTTGGCAGAGGCTTCGCCTTGGTAGGCTTTCGCCCTCTTTTCGTCGACTTTTTCTCCTTTTGGGGAGAAGGAACTTCCTCACGCTGCAACTGTTCTTCGGGGTGCTGCTCTGGCGGAGGTGGAGACTTTTCAGGGGCTTTCTCTGGTGATTTTTCAGGTGATGGCGATGAGGTAAGGCTTGGGGGAGGTACTACCTTCTTACCTTTCATTGGTCTTGTCTTTACTCTAGGCATGGCGACATAATGATGTTGTAGGAATGGCACTGCTGGAGGGGAACAAGAGCTTTAGTGGGGTTAGGGCAGAAGAGCGACTTAGAAAGATGATGCAGAGATATGGTCTTTAGGGTTTCGAGATAGGGATAAAAAAATTATACTTAACGTCTCTCTCTTGAATAAGCCTGACACGATATCCTTTCATAATTGGCTTGCTTCTTTTCAACTTTCCCATTTAACCACGTTCGTCCTTATCAGTTTTTTTTTTTATTTCAAAAAGTCTCCCCCTTTTGTCTTTCTAAAAAGGAATTAATAAATAAATCAGATATAAAGAAGGATGTGGCTGGGGCAATTTCGACACTTTCTGGCTCTCTGTTATTCTCTGACAGCTTGTCTCCCGAAAGGCTAAACTGATTTTCTCTCTCTTCTAACGGCTATTCTCTCTTCATAATTAAACTTCGGTACTTCGACAGTTGCAAACCATGCTCTAGCACTACCAGAGTTGCCCTCATCACTACTGATCACTTCAATTCCTGAACTTCTCTTTTTCTTACACTACTGCCTCACAATTTGGTTTCCCTGCTCAAAATAAACAAAAAAAAAAACTTCAAACTACACTTAACAGAATTCATAAAAACAAATAAAGTTCAAATTCAACTCGCTACTAAATAAGGGGAAATAAGAGAATAGCTAGTTAAGAATTCTTCCCCTTTTATTCCCTTTTTCTCTTTCTTCAGGTTGACTTGAGTTGATGAGACTCCACCTGTCTCACCAACTCTCCTCTCCAGTAATGCTTCAATCTTTGCCCATTCACAGTGAACTCCTTTTCAGTATTGTCCTCTCTAATGGTTATAGCCCCATGGGGATATACATGCACCACCGTAAAAGGGCTTGACCACCTTGATTTCAGTTTTCCTGGAAACAGCTTGAGCCTTAAGTTAAATAGTAAAACTCCTTGTCCTAATTTGAATACTCGTTGTTTTATCTTCCTGTCGTGCCACACTTTGGTCTTTTCCTTGTATATCTTTGTATTTTCATAGGCCTCTCTTCTGAATTCATTCCAGAAGTTGGAATTTTCTCATTTCTCTTGTTGCTAATAGATTCATGTTTAGCTACTTGACTGCTCAGAATGCTCGTTGTTCTAATTCTAATGGTAAGTGACAAGCTTTTCCAAAGACTAGCTTATATGGAGAGGTTCCTATTGGGGTCTTGTAAGCTGTCCTATAGGCCCACAGTGCGTCATCTAGTTTAAAAGACCAATCTCTTCTGCTGGTATTCACCATTTTCTCTAGTATGCCTTTGATTTCTTTGTTTGACACTTCTACTTGTCCATTTGTCCGAGGATGATATGCTGTGGATACCTTGTGCTTAATGTTATATCTTACAAACAGGCCCGCCATGACCCTATTAACAAAATGGGTGCCTTCATCTCTGACAAGAGCTTTAGGGGTTTCAAATTTGGTGAAGATATTTTTGTGGAGAAACATTAAGACAGTTTTTGAATCACAATTTATACATGTTAGAGCTTACTTAGATACGTAGTCCACTTCTAGAAGGATATAGAGGTCGTTACCGTTTAATGGTGGGCAAGGTCCCATGAAGTTGAAGGGATGTGAATCCCGGAGCGGAAACAGATTTTCATTGCTGATTTTCGGGATACAAAATCGAATTTTAAGGAAGAAAAATACAGGGGAGAAAACACACCTTTGAAGAACGTTTCTTCAGTAAGTTCCCCTCAAACACCACCACCGGATCTTCCTCGCTATCCTCTTGGGTCTCGGGATCGTGCTTGTGGTAGCACCTTGATAGAAGAGAGGGAGAGATTGAGAGAATTTTGAGAGAAGAGGTGGGAGTTTTCTTTTCTGTGTTTTGTTCTGTAACCTCTTCTTCTCTTCTCCAACACCGTTGAAGAAGAAGAAGAGGGATGACGTGGGGTAACTTTCCACGTCACAAAACCTCTCACTCCCCTGCAATTTTGCAGGGGAGTTAATATTAATAATAATATTAATATTAATATTAATATTAATATTAATATATGTAATATATAATAATAATTAAAAATATATATATAATAATTAATATATATATATATAATTAATTAATCAAATTAATTAATATAATTAATTATTAATCCAATTAATAATTAATAAATATATATATACATAAATAATTAACAC